ACAAGCACACAACCACAGGGTTATGAGAGTCGAGGCCACTAGTGCATTTTGAGAAATGGTGGTGGTAATAGGGCTGCTCTTAGGGATGTGCTGAAACTTAAACAGGTTGCATTCGTAAAGCCCGACACATAGTGAGCCCGACACACAGTGAGCTCTGGGAAGTTTTGCTAAACGAAGTAAAATCATCGTATTCAGCTTTATAGTTCTCATTTTTCACTGGCTGAGCTTTCTTTAGCAGCAGGATGTGTTTGGGGAGCATGTGTTTTACTGTTATTGCTGCTACTAGGAGTACAGTTTTAGCTGAGACGAGGTAGAAGAGAATAATCAATTTTTATTTCCATTAACTACAAACCTCAATGGCTGTATGTAGTTTTGTTTTTAAGAAAAATTAAGGTTAGTTGTAGCCAACGGGCACATCTGCTATTGGTTTAAATGTTAGTATTAATGTATTCAGCAGCTTCACGTTTTCTTCCCAGGAGGTGGGTTTGTATCACAAGTGTAAAGATTTCATAGAAAATAAGTCCCAGGTACTTATCTTAAAATTAATAGCAATTTCAGTAACACATTTAAAAATGTAAAGCAATTTGCACTTTGATGCTCATCATCAGGTCCCTCTGGGTGGTTGTGTGTGTGCTACAAAGTGTTAGGAAGACTTGTATGAATCGCTTATTTTGGGTGGCATAACTGTAGTAATTTTTCCGAGGAAATATTTGTGATCGTATGATTGAGGTTTTGCACTACTTCCTAAATTTCAACCTATCAGAATGTCTATATTAAAAAATTACAAAGAGGTTATCATTTGATCTATTTTAGCATGTTCTTGTACTGATAATTATGTTCAGTGATGTAATTTGTTGCATGGCCTTTGACTGTCTTAATGTCTTGTAAGCGGACAACCAAACCTAAGCAAGGTAGGACACAGGGAGGTTACACATGGAGCAGTTTTTAGGTGAGAATTAGCAGTGTCACTCAAGAGTAATCTCCTTGGCTCGGCACCTGTGGCTCAAGTGGCTAAGGCACCAGCCACATACACCTAAGGTGGCGGGTTCGAATCCCCAGCCGGGGCCCACCAAACAACAATGATGGATGCAACCGAAAAATGGCCAGGCGTTGTGGCAGGCACCTGTGGTCCCAGCTACTTGGGAGG